CCCTCCCCTCCCCTCCTTTGAACCAAACATAACGTAAACATCCTCGACATTGGGAAGAACTCGTTCACCGGCTTAATCCCACATTGGATTGGAGAAAACATGCAGAATCTCGCATTCTTGAGCCTCCAATCGAATAATTTTCACGGCGATATACCTTCGAGCATCTGCCTGGTCCACAGCTACAGTTATTGAACCTTGCACGAAATAACTTGACGGGCACCATCCCGGAAGAATGCTTCGGCCATGATAAACGTAAATGATCCGCGCGAGTACTTGATTCTCGATGTCGACTATGGGGGAAGCATTCCGGAGATTGTCAACGGCATTGAGAGACGGTACACGAAGACGATGCCTTTCCTCACGTCAATCGACATCTCCCGAAACAGGCTGCACGGGCAAATACCCGAAACATTGTCGGATTAAGGAATTTGAATTTGCGGGGAAATAGGCTGACGGGTAGTATCCCGGAAAGTATTGAGAATATGCGAGAGTTGATTTCGGTCGATTTCTCAAGGAACGGTCCGTATTCCGCAGGGATTGTCTTCTCTCAACTTTTTGAGTCACCTCAACTTGTCGTATAACAACTTGACGGGCCGAATACCGACCGGGAGCCAGCTGGCGACTGTTGGCCCATCTGCTTACGAAGGCAACGAGGGGCTGTGTGGGGAGCCACTCGCGAGGAGGTGCCCCGGCGGACTAACCGGTGAGGATGTTGCGGGCACGGAAAAGGATGATGGTGATTCGTTGTTTCCGTGGTTTTACGCAGGGATTGGGCCAGGCTTCTTGGTGGGCTTCATTGTGGTTTGTGCGGTTTTGAGTTTTGTCAGGTCTTTCAGGTATGCGCTTTTTAGGTGGGTTGAGAATGTGGCAGCTGGATGGATGTCTCTGTTAGTTAGTTACTTTGTTATGTAATGCAATTTATGAGCTAGTGACTAGTGAGTTCCATACTTGATTTAAGCTAGATTAAGTCGCACTAGTACCAAACGTCATTCTAAATCTAATAATATATATTTTTTTGTAAAAGTTTATTTAAATTTTAAAATACTTTTTCTCAATAATTTTAAATTTAAAAATAATTTTTTTAACAAACACTTGTGTAAAAACACATGTCTAATACAAAACATTATAAAACCTCTCTTACTTCTCTTTAGCCCACGAATTTCTTAACAAGGTTTCAACGAGTATATGTGAGG